CCCCCCCCACTCCCAGGTCTTTAGATGGTCATCGCGTTTGCCTCAAGGCACAAACCACATACACAACTTTCCCGCGACTTAACCCAATCCGTCCGCCCTGGGGTCATTTTGTACCCCCAGGGTTGTATTCTTCACATTTTAGAACACTTCTAGTGCGAAGATCCCTTTGAAACTTTCAGTATTTCTCAAAAAATCATTTTGATAGACTACTACCCAAAGCGTACGGATCGGATTAACGAGTAAATTTCCTCTTTGGAAAGTGGTGGCACAGAGTTTCCCACGTTGTATGGATACGATAGAAAAATACGACGTACGGATAGGGTTAAGTGGTGGCACAGAGTTTCTCACGTTGTATGGATGCGATAGTAAAACACGACGTACGGATAGGGTTAAGTGGGGGCACAGAGTTTCCCACATTGTATGGATGCGATAGTAAAACACGACGTATGGACATTGCGTTTGTTCAACATGACACCAACTAAAAGAAAAGACGTTCTTTTGAAGACAGGAGTATCTCCACTTTACAAGGTATCCAAACGACCCCTAGGCTTGGCTTTCTCAGAAGATACTGAGAAAGCCTAACCCCTAGGATGTTTCTTGGTGCTCTTAATGTATCTCATTATCTCTCTAGCTTAGAGCATGAGTAGCTTTGATCACCAGACGAAACGATCATGAAGGGGAACACTTTTTCATCAAGTTCTTCTTCCGCTAATGTCACACTGACTTGCAAACGTTTCGTCCGGACCGTTTGAACCCTAGAGGCAGAAGAGGTAGGTTTAGCCTATTAACTCTCTAAACACTGAGTTATTTCCACCGTTTCCCGGAGTTGTTCTTTTTTTTTTTTTCTACAGCCACCTAAGCCTGGTGGCCTATGTATCATTATAACACCAAAAGCTTGCCTCCAACTCCAATTCCTATAAAAGATGGAAACAAAATATGCTTAGTCATTATTTTTAAAAACTTGGTTCGGAATAGTTCCAATTAAACAAGTTAAAACTAGCACTAAATGAAATAACATAACAGTTGTCACTAGTTCCCAGCGTCGGATGGGGAACAGGGTAATTAATTACTGCCGGGCGCTCCCAGCGTCTGATGGGGTTTAAACTAGGTTTTCTCAGTTCTCAGAGAAAGCCTAGGTTCTAAAGAGTTAATAATATGGCGCTCGTTGGCAAGCCCCGAGAAATATATTATCACGTCTGTATCCAGCTGGGACAATCGATGGATCTTCTCGAGGGTGAACGTGGTCGTCTTCAGAAGAGGAGTGTGGGGGGGGG